CAGCAAGTCTGTCTACTTATCCTAACATTGTAGCACCATCTTGCCCAAACTTCGCTGGAACTTTTAAACGTTCAGAGTTTCATCCACGGTAAATTAAGGTCCTCCCAACTTTCCTTCGAAGAATTGGCGGAAACGGCTGTTGGGCGTGGTTGGTCATTGCCACAGTGACTCGTAAAGACCGCCAAAGGATTTGTTCTACACAACTGTGAACCCGGGCTTTCCAACTTATCGAGCCGTCGGGTAGGCTGCGCGTTCTCTTGCAGCTGCGGGGCGTTTAAATTGGCAGGACACACAGATACCTGGTCGGAAGCACGACAAAACGCATTCAGAATTATGTAACCAGGAACTTATCAAAACGATCGTCATGTCAAATGGCTAAAATGTATCCTCAGCTACATACTTATTATAGGATTCACTCAATCAACTGATCCCGAATCCCCTTGCGAAAAGCAAAATCTTGGGCTTTAAAGGTATGGGAAGCGGTGCTTGTCAGATAAAACTCAACCCGACAGGTGCGCATGAATGATTTGGTTGCCCTTTTATTGATCAGCTGATAACCAGAAATCAGCTAATCAATACTGTTGATCCTCTTTATTTATATGATTACCATAATTAAATTACGCTATAAAGCGAGTAACAGAAATGTTAACGCACCGCCGGGTCGTCTGTTACTTCTGATGAGATGGATAGAGGAACTGAAATGCCGCTATCCAATCAGTCAACTACTTCCTTAATCGTCATCGTCCGCTCAAATACCTGTCTTCTGGCATATCTTACTCCAAGGATTCAGTATGGTGTATCATTTTACAACTGTGAACAGTTAAATTTTGCACCCCTCAGGTTCATGGAGATTTCATTTGCTAGTCTTAACGCAGTTCGAAAACAGGACAATCTCCTGGTGACGGAAGGGCAGATGAATCAAAGTCGGTTTCCGCTGAGAGGTGCTACGCAGCTTGAAAGACTCCTAATTTATAGAGCTAGAAATTTGGTTTTGTTTCCTAATCTGGGCCAAGCATAATTTTAATGGTTAATGAAGGATGGAATTCCGTAAGAAATTATCAAAAAACCCCGCTTTATTGAGCAGTTAGCCAGATGGATTCATACATTCTGTCAGCAGGTCCTACCACAGAGCGAGGTTTGTTTTAAAGCAACTGACAAATGTGGCGAATAAGTGGCTTTGTCAAAACCCAAACAGTACTGTACAACCTTTCCATCCTTAGTAGGCTCATCAGCGGTGCTCATCTTCCGCCTGGTGCCGGAAGGTGGCGCGTTCCACTACTAAGTGGAACGGTTAACCATTCGACCACGAGTGGCTGATCAGCACTGTGATTAGCCTTCACTTAGAGTCACTAATTTTCGGTTACAAAACACACATCACCGAAAAAATTAGGGATTTTTATATGAACTTTCATCCGAACAAGCATGACATTTCCCACACATATCACCTTGCAAGTATTCTTTGGGACTGTTTCACTCTGCGCTATAACAATCATCTGACTATCTTCGAGAAATACACTCATTTGCAGATCAATTTGGTTTTCAAGACTGACTGAACTGAGTCTCTTGTTTATGAGTGTATTTCTCGAAAATAGTCCAATCTGAGATCAAGTAGAACATAAGATTGACGGAAACTCGAGGACTGCGCCTACTGATGAGCCCCAAGAAGGGCGAGACGGGTCGTGGACTGTCGAAGAGTTTTCCGTAACCTTGTGAGTAATTTCCTTGCATGACTAAGTAGAACATAACCACGTCTCCTCCACAACTTTTCGGGAAAACCTGAGGTATTACGAACATCAAGACAGACAGGTTTCAGAACGACAATGAAATGGTTGCTGAAAAGGCTACCATGAACTGGAATGGACGTGACAGAGACTTCACTATTATTTTACAATCAGCCATTAGTTCTGTGACCATCATATTGGCAACGGAGGCTCTTTTATAGTGTGAACCAAACCTGAAATTTTCCGCTACAGATGCTTGACTAGTTCTCAAGATATAAGTTAGTTGGATGCAGGATTTTGTTTTAATTTTGACCATTTTGTCCCGCGATGCCCCTCAGGATCATTTGGTGAAATACTACCAGCAATGTTGTTAGTTTGACGTAGTTGGCAACACTCCTTTCTTTGTGGAGTACCTCACTGCATGACTCGTTTCAATACTCCAGTTTTACGTTTGCACGCTGTCAAATTCGGCCTGAGGATTACCAACTACAGCCGGCAGACACCAGCAGACAGTTGGCGTGAATATCACACGGAAGTACAAAGCCTCACTGTTTGCATGTTCCTGCAGCTTCCTTCGAGTTCCTTTAGACAAGTCTTGTGGACAAAGACTAGGTGCAACAACAGTATCCAACCAGCTGGCCAATTAGGTCAACTGGATGAGGCTGAATTAGGCAGGTTTGTCCATGTAACCAGTCGAGCAGTGAGTACCTATTGCGATTTCATTCGCTCTGTATGTTTACAAAAACGACAGACGTTTCGCGAACTCCGAAAAAGTATAATAAGCTTCGCAAACGGATATTTGCAAAGAAAATCCTAGAACGAGCGGTCGATATAAAACCAAAAAGTCTAAATCACCATGTAGACTGGTAGTTCCATCCAACCGAAATTGTAGCTGTTCGGGTGCAGAGTGGTTCAACATCTTAAAGTTGATGTTTACAAATTACCAAATGTTACCTGAAAATGAATCGGTCAACGTCTCATCAGAAGAGGTAAGAGCATAATGACATTGTTGAGAGTCGCAACAAGGTAGAAGATTGTTGCAGGTCTCTCAAACCAAACTTGTTGTTGTCATTCCGAATCACATAAAGAAATACAGTTTGACAAGCGTGTTGCGCATCCACAAACCGAAGTTTTACACACTCCCTGGATAGTTTCCCTGCGATGTTCACTCTTCCAAAAACACGCATTCTTGCTCATCGGCTGACAACTCTCAGTCGAAATGATCATAAGAAATATGCAACAGGACTTGAGCAACCGAAACCTGAACCAATAAACCGTAAAGTATTAAGTGCCAGTAGTTTTATTCATGACTTATTATTTTGTAGTTTAAGTGTGTGGTCTTGTCATATCTGACGAACGCTGATATATCGACAGGTTGGAGAATATGTACTGCTGATAGGCTCTAATAAGAGCGAAACTCGAGTCCAGTCCCTTAGGTGCGATTGCGCCGGGACAGGAGGATGACTGTTCAAACAAGAGTCACCTGAGTGTGTATTCTACAAAAATCCGCATCCTGAAAAAATAAATTATAGAAACATGAAAAATATGCGATGCCCAGTTATAAGTTTCAGTGATAAGGCTGCAACAAGGACTGATTAAAGTTCTCTTTGCCTTTCACTTACGTGATATTTTGCTCTCTTCAGGACGCAGCCCTGAAGTTACATTCATGGTAAGTTGAGAAATATATAATATTTTCCAGTTAGATCAGAGTTCTATTGTGTAACCTTACACGATATCGAGCTTTGTCTACTGTCCAAGCAGAATGGCTGTGATTGCCGACCAGTGGGCGGTCAATGTAAGTTGTACGAAGGCAAGAAGCTTTCGATTTCATCTCGTAAATGAAAAAAAACCTGAAGGAAACAACTGACACGGTTGCTGAAAATTCCTCGACAGTCCACTACCAGAACATCATAAACGAGAGATTCAGCTGGGTTTCAGATGTGTATCCTGTGGAAACCAAGTTGGTGGAATCGTCGTGGTTGGTGCAATCCGGGTCGAGTAGAAGATGAGGTTGGCGGATATTCGCCTTCCTGCTGAGTCCCAAGAAGGTGGAAAACGGTCGTTGACTGTCGAGGAGTTTTTAGCAACCTTGTGGGTAGTTTCCTCCATGAAAATCTACTACGATATCTCAAATATCGTACCAACTGAAACTTAGGCGGCTTTTGTACGGCAAATCCAGCTGGATATGGATATCATGAAGGTGGGATTCAGCTGCGGTAAGTTACCACTGAAAAAACTGGTATACGGACGAGTGTGTTTTTAGGAAGGAAACCTGCACTAAAAGCCGAGGAACGCCTGATAACTCACCCTCGTGGGACTCATAAACACCAAAGCACGTGGATGAACTTTTAAGTTGAGTGGTGATTTATTTGTTTGTGTATTTTGTTGTGCACCACTATATATTATATATGATATTATTTGTATTTTACTTTCGGATGTATGTATAACACATTAAACTAAGTACCGGAGTGTCAAGTATGACATCCAGAGGGCTGTGGTTTTGAAGATTCGGTGAGGCTTGAGATATACAAACTGTTGACAGTGTTCTACAGAGTTGAATCAGCTGTAAACCACCTTCCATCATTCCAGCACAAACTGACAGAGAAGTTCTAAATTAGCGTGTGGACTGGTTGTTCACACAGCGACAATGTCCTGCGCTGGTTCGATGCCGACTGTCAGTTAATTCAGACTAAAATTGGAACCAATATTTTATCAAAGGTAACCTTTGCTCTTGTTGACACTTTGCAAATATTGTCCGAACAGTCAGATCTAACTCAAACAAAACTCTACTGGTTCTAACCGCAGTAAACCAGATTGCATCACCCTTCCATTCCAATATAACCAGTCTAATAAGGAACTCGTGACCATAATTCAAGAATGGATCTTAGTTTTTTGTGCTTGCTTCTCGTTTTCATCCCAAGCATTAGAGGAATGGTTCTCTCACAGGTAATCAATATCTATTCGTTACAGTACAGATGCATGGTTAGGAATTAAGGTATTTAGAAATGTGGACATTTTGCTTCTTCCTCAGTAGTGATGAACTTCTTAAATTGAAGGCCACCACGAATGCTCGTTTCAAGAAAAAAATCGGAATTGCACAACAATTCAGACAAGTTGACCTGACCAAAGCTTCCTAGAATTCACTGAAGCGTTCATTCAATGAAAAAATTAAGTATCGATCTACGGTTGTACTGAAAAACTAAGCTGTTTGTTTCAAAAAAGTTCTTAGGTTTATCTCTTTTCTTTTGCATTTTAAACCAATCATATCACTGATTATAGAAATCAGAACATGTTCGTCAGTCATACGAGAACTTCAAGAGGAAATATGGGAAATACTTTATTGGTGATGGTAGGCAATTTGTTTTTCCACGTTCATTAAAAAATCTGTTGTCAGAGGACGATCGGCGATTCGGAATCTTCAAGGACAATCTGAAGCGAGCGCAAATATATCAGCAAGAGGACAGAGGAACGGCTAAGTACGGAGTGACACGGTTCTTTGACCTCACACGTAAGTTCCGTTTATATGGTTATACTGCCTACAGCCGAAGAATTTAAAGCCCTCTATTTGACTGCTACGTATGACCATCGGAAGTTGAACCAAAGTGAGACGATTGAACCGAAACCAGTGGGTGAGCCTCAAGATTTCTTTGACTGGCGGGATTATGGTGCTGTTGGACCTGTACTGGACCAGGATAGATGTGGATCATCTTGGGCTTTTTCAGCGATCGGAAACATAGAGGGTCAGTATTTCATGAGGATTCATCGGTTGCTTAGTTTGAGTGAGCAGGTACGTGAGACATCCGGTCATCCATGCCGTAACAACCGATTTAATCGCAGTTCCGCTTCCCTTAGCATCTAATTCTTTTCATTGTGGATGTTTTGATACGTTAGTTTTGGTTATATGAACAAAGACTTAATCAATTTTCTGTTTCCTTCCCAGTGTGTGACCACAGATTTACAGCCCAGATTTTCACCTTATTAGACCCACTTCGGTAGCTTTGTAAGATCCGGTTTGCCTCGGTTGGCGATAGCCTAATTGTGAGGGAGGATCCCTAGAACTCCTAACCAACGCTTGGCGTTTGCAGTCACTATGCGTCCAACTGGTTCGTAAAAGTGAGGCTGAAAGGCCGGGCATAGCTGTGTATTAGGCTCAAAAATATTACTTCTGTTATTATCAATATATTTGCTCCTCCAACCTACTATAATCTGTAGGCAAACCCTTAAGAAAATGAGCCATTTTCAGTCACTATCTACCGTCATTTGAAGTAATTAAAGAATGCCAACCACGAGTCTAAAACAAGAAGGGTGCTTCTGACAACATCCTGAGACGTCTTACCTGCTTTATTGTTCCACAGAGTGCTTTGCACTGCCAAGATAGCTCAAGTATTTTGGAGGGCCACTCGGTATAAACAAACGTCCTTCACCGTTCGAACCCCGAAATGTTCTGTCCATAGCGTCCATGACATGGTGTGGTGTCTTCACAACCAGAGTTTGATTATTTCAAAGTTAATTTGACATCCACACTGATGGATGTGCGGATGTGAGCTATTTCTCCTCTAACCTAACGACGACCAGTCTGTGTTACTTAGTGTTGGAAGTTGTTCACTTACTCCATCTGATTCGTGAAAAACTTAGATCTAGCCGTTTCCTTTGCTGAGTAAGAGACACCTTATCTGTCTTGAATCTGCGTGTCCGCACCTGTCGTCAGTAATACGTACAATCAGAAGACTACTTCCATGACTGCAGAATACATGAACTCTGTGAAAAGCTCCTGTGAGCTCATTGCTGTTTCCTAGTATCTGGAGGGTTCTACGCAACTACTTGCATGTGGACAGGTTTCCCTGCCAGCAACATTAGCAGTGTTTTACACAAACACGTGTTCGTACTGGAGAGGGGGTTGCTACAGATTGAGCCTTTGGAAAACGGACGTAGTCTGCCTAAAGTCGTGACAGGCTTAATGCAGAATTCCAATGAACAGTGCGCTAGCTATGGGACAGGAGGATTCCCTTCAAATCTCATCCAAACGTACAGTAAACCACTGTGTAAAAAGCAGGTCGTATGCGGAATGGCCCATGTGCACTTTTGCGAATAGCACAGGAGACAGATAAGTAGGGTCTTGTCTATGCTCTTTTGACGGTACGTGTTTGGCTTAAAAGCCGTATGGTCACGGCTTACCTTCGTTCTAATTTCAGGCTACGGAATATAGCAATGAGGTTAGTGGTTTCGTTCATCCCCTGGTGCGTCCCCTTAGAAATCGTATGCATGCACTATGAGGAAGTTAACCCATTTGGCTTTCTGTTGACATAAAGTGATGCTACTGGCAAAAATGCATTGATCTGACCCGTAGTTGGGATAACCGGCTTGGGACAATGAATCAAAATTTCCGCCTACAAGGTTTGTACCTACCATTGGTTGAAAAATTTCCTTATTCCCCTCATTTTCCCCAGCAACTAGTTGATTGTGACAGGGTCGATCAAGGCTGCTCAGGTGGAACTCCTTATGGTGCCTTTGAAGGGATCCAACAGCTGGGTGGTTTGGAGCTTGAAGTCGATTATCCCTACCTGGGCCATCAAGATAATTGTCAATCGAACCCACTGCGATTTGTCGTCAGCATAAATGGATCGGTACAATTACCTAAAGATGAGGATCAGATAGCCCAATACCTTTTCGACCATGGTCCTCTCAGTGTTGGGGTAAATGGTGCTCTTCTACAGGTAAGTGTAATTCAGTCGAAAAAAGTGGTCCAAATAATCATAATCATGTTCACATAAACATACATGTTTACTCCAAATGTGTTCCTTTTGATCACAGTACTATTCATCTGGAATTATGCAACCGTTTCGGGATAATTGCGATCCGGCTGAAATGAATCATGCGGGCCTGGCTGTCGGGTTTGGAATTGAGCAAGATGTTCCATATTGGACCATCAAGAACAGTTGGAGTACGCTATGGGGAGAGCAGGTGAGTCAACGCAACCTGAACATGCGTGCGAATTTTTTATAAACATAAATCAATTTATATGCATCCATACGTAAAAATGTAAAAATGATAAAAGGTGCACAGGTCAATGGACCACGATATGGCATCGATAACAGCACATTTAGAAAAATTCCTGATAACAAAATAGCTAGTTCGAAAATGCTTCACTTGAAAAAAGTGCTCTGAGTTATACTGTCAGGTTCCGATAGCCTACGTGACGGCAGCGGTGACTGGTCTAGCAGCGTCCGGCATAAAAAGAATTTAAAGCCCTCTATTTGACTGCTACGTATGACCATCGGAAGTTGAACCAAAGTGAGACGATTGAACCGAAACCAGTGGGTGAGCCTCAAGATTTCTTTGACTGGCGGGATTATGGTGCTGTTGGACCTGTACTGGACCAGGATAGATGTGGATCATCTTGGGCTTTTTCAGCGATCGGAAACATAGAGGGTCAGTATTTCATGAGGATTCATCGGTTGCTTAGTTTGAGTGAGCAGGTACGTGAGACATCCGGTCATCCATGCCGTAACAACCGATTTAATCGCAGTTCCGCTTCCCTTAGCATCTAATTCTTTTCATTGTGGATGTTTTGATACGTTAGTTTTGGTTATATGAACAAAGACTTAATCAATTTTCTGTTTCCTTCCCAGTGTGTGACCACAGATTTACAGCCCAGATTTTCACCTTATTAGACCCACTTCGGTAGCTTTGTAAGATCCGGTTTGCCTCGGTTGGCGATAGCCTAATTGTGAGGGAGGATCCCTAGAACTCCTAACCAACGCTTGGCGTTTGCAGTCACTATGCGTCCAACTGGTTCGTAAAAGTGAGGCTGAAAGGCCGGGCATAGCTGTGTATTAGGCTCAAAAATATTACTTCTGTTATTATCAATATATTTGCTCCTCCAACCTACTATAATCTGTAGGCAAACCCTTAAGAAAATGAGCCATTTTCAGTCACTATCTACCGTCATTTGAAGTAATTAAAGAATGCCAACCACGAGTCTAAAACAAGAAGGGTGCTTCTGACAACATCCTGAGACGTCTTACCTGCTTTATTGTTCCACAGAGTGCTTTGCACTGCCAAGATAGCTCAAGTATTTTGGAGGGCCACTCGGTGAAAAATCACCATCTAATGACCTTTACTAACAGTATAAACAAACGTCCTTCACCGTTCGAACCCCGAAATGTTCTGTCCATAGCGTCCATGACATGGTGTCTTCAGCATGCAACCAGAGTTTGATTATTTCAAAGTTAATTTGACATCCACACTGATGGATGTGCGGATGTGAGCTATTTCTCCTCTAACGAACAAACGACCAGTCTGTGTTACTTAGTGTTGGAAGTTGTTCACTTACTCCATCTGATTCGTGAAAAACTTAGATCTAGCCGTTTCCTTTGCTGAGTAAGAGACACCTTATCTGTCTTGAATCTGCGTGTCCGCACCTGTCGTCAGTAATACGTACAATCAGAAGACTACTTCCATGACTGCAGAATACATGAACTCTGTGAAAAGCTCCTGTGAGCTCATTGCTGTTTCCTAGTATCTGGAGGGTTCTACGCAACTACTTGCATGTGGACAGTTTTCCCCGCCAGCAACATTAGCAGTGTTTTACACAAACACGTGTTCGTACTGGAGAGGGGGTTGCTACAGATTGAGCCTTTGGAAAACGGACGTAGTCTGCCTAATGTCGTGACAGGCTTAATGCAGAATTCCAATGAACAGTGCGCTAGCTATGGGACAGGAGGATTCCCTTCAAATCTCATCCAAACGTACAGTAAACCACTGTGTAAAAAGCAGGTCGTATGCGGAATGGCCCATGTGCACTTTTGCGAATAGCACAGGAGACAGATAAGTAGGGTCTTGTCTATGCTCTTTTGACGGTACGTGTTTGGCTTAAAAGCCGTATGGTCACGGCTTACCTTCGTTCTAATTTCAGGCTACGGAATATAGCAATGAGGTTAGTGGTTTCGTTCATCCCCTGGTGCGTCCCCTTAGAAATCGTATGCATGCACTATGAGGAAGTTAACCCATTTGGCTTTCTGTTGACATAAAGTGATGCTACTGGCAAAAATGCATTGATCTGACCCGTAGTTGGGATAACCGGCTTGGGACAATGAATCAAAATTTCCGCCTACAAGGTTTGTACCTACCATTGGTTGAAAAATTTCCTTATTCCCCTCATTTTCCCCAGCAACTAGTTGATTGTGACAGGGTCGATCAAGGCTGCTCAGGTGGAACTCCTTATGGTGCCTTTGAAGGGATCCAACAGCTGGGTGGTTTGGAGCTTGAAGTCGATTATCCCTACCTGGGCCATCAAGATAATTGTCAATCGAACCCACTGCGATTTGTCGTCAGCATAAATGGATCGGTACAATTACCTAAAGATGAGGATCAGATAGCCCAATACCTTTTCGACCATGGTCCTCTCAGTGTTGGGGTAAATGGTGCTCTTCTACAGGTAAGTGTAATTCAGTCGAAAAAAGTGGTCCAAATAATCATAATCATGTTCACATAAACATACATGTTTACTCCAAATGTGTTCCTTTTGATCACAGTACTATTCATCTGGAATTATGCAACCGTTTCGGGATAATTGCGATCCGGCTGAAATGAATCATGCGGGCCTGGCTGTCGGGTTTGGAATTGAGCAAGATGTTCCATATTGGACCATCAAGAACAGTTGGAGTACGCTATGGGGAGAGCAGGTGAGTCAACGCAACCTGAACATGCGTGCGAATTTTTTCTAAACATAAATCAATTTATATGCATCCATACGTAAAAATGTAAAAATGATAAAAGGTGCACAGGTCAATGGACCACGATATGGCATCGATAACAGCACATTTAGAAAAATTCCTGATAACAAAATAGCTAGTTCGAAAATGCTTCACTTGAAAAAAGTGCTCTGAGTTATACTGTCAGGTTCCGATAGCCTACGTGACGGCAGCGGTGACTGGTCTAGCAGCGTCCGGCATAAAACTTGAAGTTCACTGTTTGTAACACGAGTGGGTCGGGGAAAAGGTGACGGGATGGCACCATACAACGGCCACTCAAGTAAAATAGATTACGTTCTCCTAGCCTGTTGGACCGACACCACGTAGTATGAATGATATATCTTGCCCGACACAAGCATACCAATGAGTGCACATAGAAATTGCAAATACAGTTTGGCATTTTGTCTTTCAACTGAGTACTGATCACAGGGCTGGAACGGAAGCCCAACCATGGATTTGTGGCCATATATGTCGTTTCAATACACCTCGCGTGCCTTCTAGTAACTAATTCCACAGTCGAATCGTCCTTGAAAGGAGCGTTTAAAGAGACACACTTTATCCCGTTAATGTGCTGCTGAGCTCTGCTATATGAGCTGCAAGGTTCTCTGTATGAATCGCTGAAGCTATCCGACGTAGTAAAATGTGTTATTAGTGCACAGGTGATGACGGCCAAAATACAAATCAGAAGGTGTATACACTAATAAAAGTTTTTAACGGTGATTGACAGTTGTTTACAGGAGCGATTTGTAGCATGTATAAAATAAAGGGCAATATAAAATGTGGAGCAAGTCAACAGGGAACTTATCGTATGCGGGAGTCCCTTGGTGAAAGTCCGGACGGAGGGAACGTGTTTTCTCCGCAGCTTGGCTGCTACACGTACTCCCTAATTGTCCGTGGACTAGGAGTTTTTGGCTGACTCCTTGCTCCCTGCGCCCGCGCGCGAGTTTTCCCTTTATGTAGGTCCCAGTGCGTGTACGTGGGCGCGTCGGCACATGAGTAGTAGCTACGCTGACTAGGCGGGGCAGACAATCGATGTCCGATGAGTCAGCTTAATATGACGTGTTTGTGAGTATGAGAAAAAAGACAAGCCTCGCGATCCATTGAGAGACTGTGAGCTGAACAGTTAAGTATGTGGTTGATTGGGTCGCTACAATGTGACCCAAAAACTGAGACATCTGGAATGTGGCCAGGACAGCATAACTTGGCTGCTTTCTCGGCCTAGCATCTTATTAAACTTGGATTCCGTTTTAGTGGAATGAAACTGCCCAAGCGTACATGCCTAACATTCAAGTTTTGTTTCTGTACTGTACTGTACTGTGTGTTCTGTGTACTGTGTTCTTGTATGCAACTTCCTCAGAATAGCAACATCAGAAAAGTTGAGTAGACTGTTAAACTTAGGTTCAACAGTCCGTTTTATATTAGAGTGTATTTGCTCAGGATGTCCTCTGGACTGATATTATCCTGTTATATGATAATTGTATCGTTTAAGTGGCAACCATTTGATGAAGGTTACCCGATGAGGACATTCAGCTGGTGAGTTCCAAGTACACTCATAAAAAGATTTGCCCAAATAGACCCAAAGGAGATTCCACTCCAACCTCATCTCTCTGATGATAGAATTGAGGGTTAATCATCCAGCTGTATCGTACTATTCGGTGCCTAGCTGTCATTTCACCCAAAGGCATGGATACTGTCAGGTTTCCCAAACATATATAGCAGGAATCGAAATACAGAGATTAGATTCGCACCAAGCACTTTCCGGTTAAAGGGGCTCGCTGCTGAGATGGGTTCCACTGAGATATCTCATGTTATAGATTTACTCATTGAAACTGGACTGAAGGATTTAGGTACTCACAATATTTGTGCTACTTTACTCTTTCGGGTCACAAGTATGGTTGGTCCGCTGCCTGGGTCAGTAGTGTATCAGTAAATACGGACAAAATACCACGGAAGAATACGTAGCGATTGTCAACCTTTGACTCCTTAGTATCGTTGATATGCTGAAATATTTACTATGAAAGGGAACATTGGTAGCTCAGATAACATAGATAGTCGCTGGCTTGTTCGCTGCCCAGCTCATCTATGACCATTCCAACTCCTTCATGTGGCTTAGCTAACGGCTTGGCAGAATATCTGGTGTACAATGTCAGAAATCTTAGCTGGCTGAAAATTTTCTCCTCTCTGGCGTCACCTTTTAGCACCTAGGAGTGTAAAGGACACATCCAAGTCTTGACGTTCGGATATGGACAGGATTTTTAACGCTGTTACATTAGGCTCCTTCATTTTCCATTTCACAAATGATCTCTTGAGTATTGTTGTGTTCATTTTCTACGTGACTGTTGAGTACAAAGGTCTCTGAGGCTGATTCGACTTCTGCGCTGAGTTTGCCAATATTGCTGAGCAAAATGATCCCGCTTGATATACTGATCAAAGAGAGGCAATACCTTAGATACTTTCGAAGCTGCTTTAGAGAGCGTGGATTTCTAGGTCATTTCGATTGGTTGTACATAGGCATGGAATTTCTCCAGTAACCAGTTACAGCCCCAGTCTGGTGCAAGGAGGTAACCCGGAGAATCCGTAAATTTTATGATTCATAGAATTCATACTCATATCACCCTTGAACCATCCTACTCAGTTCTTAGTGCAATTATTCTGGAGAATGCATACGAAAGAAGGACACATAACTCCACTGATGCTCTTATCAGAGCTCATCAGCAGTTTATATTCTTGGCCATGCCGTGGTTTGAATTCCGAACGTTGTTGCCATTAATCAGCCAGCACACGCTGGGCGCACCTGAATCATCATGTCTGAGCAGCCGGAGGTGTCCGAGCCTGATTGATTTGCCCAACGTCTGACAGGCTGGTGAGTTGATCGACACAACCAGGACGGTTACAGGGTCATCGTTCGAGGCGCTGGACAAACCAGTCACAATGACCAAGAGTGAATGCGTCCGCCTGGTCGGCAGTGATAAATCAGGTGCGTCCAGCGAGAGCTGGTGGATCAGCAGTGCCACGCTCAGTACATACCTTAGATGACCGGAGTTCACTCTAATCAGAGTCCAGTGCTTCGTTCTCTTCAGTCCGAACCCTTCAGAATAGTTAGGCTAGCAAAGGAGAAGGACTGTCCAGAAACAAGTGTTTCAATTCATATTTACCAATAGTCAGATAATTGTTTGAATTATTCAACGGTCGTTCAGAGCACGGATTGCATCTAAGATCGAATTCGCCAAATGCACGAATTGCTCGGTAGACTCGTGGTTCATAGATGGCTGCCTGAAATTGTCCACCCACTAACAATGATGAAAATGTTGACGAGTCTGAGCTTTTTGAGGATTATCAGGTCCTCCCCTAGGCTCGACGGTCAAGTGAACAAAACTTTCGGTTTGTTTCTAATTTAGGTTGTTCCACAAAACATTTTAGCTATTGATACGAAGGGACGACGCCGAACACGTAGTCGTAGCGTACAAGCCCACTATCTTTATTACTAATGGTCCAACGGCCAGGTATGATGTTTTTTGTCTGATTCTGTGCGGAACACGCTTCATACACAGGGACCCATGGTCGTCGGGTTTGTCGACTATTCGGCGTTAGGTTCAACGATTCCCATGGATCACTGCAGTGCATTATACGACGCTGAACAACGGCTAAGGCAAACATTAGAACAACGCTTTTGTCTGCGAATGGTATTTTTTCTCTCAAGATTTTTGCTAACTCACGAAAATGTTCGAACCGAGCGTTCCTATATTCGGTAGTAAATTCTCTTTATTCCTCATGAGCACAGTCATTAATTACCCAACACTGTTTTTTTCTGAACCAGGGCTACTTCCGGCTGTACCGCGGAAACGGAACGTGTGGGGTCAATGAAGCTGTTTGTTCTGCTACTGTTGCTTAACACAAGCATACAGCAGGAAATCCTACTGCTTCTGGGGGTCAGTAATTTTTCAACTCACGGATATTTCTTCTAATCCATACCGACCGAACGCCGATTGTCATTCTGATAACTGTAACATCCGTACATGTTTATTCACAATACATATCCCCAGCCGGCTGAAAAATAGGCAGCCGCCAGCTTTACACGAATGAACAAACAAACAAACAAACAAACAAACAAACAACAATGTCGTTAAAGTCCATTTGTACTGACTAGGCTCTCTTTGGTGCAGCTAGTGTACTTATTATATCTGGGCTGTTCACATGCCAAACAAAATCCACCAAGTATTTTCACAGAATTTCCATCAGGCGCATTGTGTGAAACGGCGAAGCGGGAGGCGGCTCTCTGTCTTCTGTGTTGTTTCTCTTCGGCATCAGAAAATAGAGCTCTGTGGAACACATTGCAATTTATAAAAATGTGTAGAGACCTATCTTGATAATAACTAGTTTTAAGTTTACGGAGCGAAGGTGACTACTCAACTAGAGGCTGTCGTTGGTCGTACCTATGTAGCCGCACATTTGATTCTGCTACCAGCAACGGTGTTTGCCCCACCCGTGATTTCGGCGCGCACCGACGGAACAGCTGGGAACTTGGGATTCGGTACACATCGGTAGATGAAAGCAAAGTGATCTCATGCTCTGAAACCGCCTCGCAGAGCTAATCCCAGACACCACTCATCGGGGTGACTCACTACTGAGAAGCGTCAATCCAAAACTGCTAGAGCTTACTGGTCCATGCTAATAGAAGTCTGAAGTGCGCTATTAGCTTGCCTTCTGATTGGTTTACTTGATGACTGGTTCCACTCTAATTTGGCTATTTCTTGTACCCGGATGACGTATTAACAAGCAAACTGTTAACGTTCTGTGAGCTTTGTTTTCTTATTGTATTAAAGCTCACTGGCATTACTGACAACTTTGTCATAATAATCCAGATGGGTAGTGAACCAAGTAGAGGAAGGCAATCCTAACACAACCCACAACACGATACAGGGACCTAGATTAGGTCAATGTGTTCCAATTAGTCCCTTTCTACTTCAGTTCAT